AGTAAAATATTAGATGTAAAAATAACAAAATAATATGATTAACTTCTGAAAAATTTAATTTGTGAAAGTTAAAAATAAATTTGAGGCGACTGAAAAGGTTATTTTTTAAAACTAAAGTTAACTCAGCAGCCCACCTTTATGGCCTACATGAGCGCGCGCACACACACACACTTGCACACACAAGCCACCATTTTGTCTCACCTTCTCCAAAACACACGCATGCACTCTGAGCCTCTCGTGCACACATTATAAACTTGCACGTCTGTGCAGACACGCACGCCCCTCCCCCACCCGGTCCTCAGCTCCACACAAATGGAAACACACACCTTTTTCTACTGCAGCAGCCCGCCAACACACACACACACACACACACGCACACCAAATTATACATATATCCCCCCGTAAAGCCCCCCTCTTTATGTACACACATTTGCAGAATCACGCACACACCCTGCTCCCCTCCCCCCCTCCCGTTCCATACCAGGGCATGTCGTGACAAAACAAAGAACACCCCATAATAGTCAGAGTCGCACTGTATGCATGGCAACCAGTTATGTCAGAGATGAAGATACCATCATGTGTGTTTCACTGTACACTTTACAGAAGCAAACACACACACACACAGACACACACACAAAATTACAGGTTAATGGGTTTACGTCCACACACACACACACACACACACACACACACACACACACACACCCTACACACACACACACACAACTGAATTCCAGCTCATCGCAGATTAAAGAAAAACACAAAATGCTGCCTGCTGATTGGAATGGAAAGGGCACAGGAGTAAAGTGACTCACACTTGTCATTTTCTGAAACATGTAATCTTGTCGCTGACTGACCTTATTACCATGTCTTTGTCTTGTTATGCCTGCAGCTCCCAAAACGTTCACTCATTTATAAAACAGACGACAGTTTTGATTCTAATTATTGTTTAACTGGTTAAAACACATATAAGTGCTTATAAAATCTTACTGTAGTCTTGCTCAGCTTAAATTAAACTGATACACAATTAGGATATTTTCTTCAAAAAAGCCCATTGTCAAATGAGATAATTTGATTTTGATGGTGGATTTATTCAGTTCCAGGAAGTAACATACAAACTACTTTTCCTTTAAAATTGAGTCCTTGAGGGTCATTTTGACCAAAGGGCAGCATCCATTCATCCATCATCTATACCCACTTCCTTCCTTTAGGGTCATTGGTGCCCATATCCAGCAGTCACAGTGCGAGGGGCGAGGTACACCCTGGACAGGTTGCAAGTCCATCACTTTTATTTGTTTTTAAAGCTCTTAATGGCCTTGCACCTCTCTACTTGTTTGAGATGTTGCACCCTCTCGTTTCCTTAGGTCAGCTGACCAGTTGCTTTTGAGTGTGCCAAGGACAAAGCGCAAGCTTAGAGGGGACTGTGCTTTTTCTGTGGCAGCTCCCAAACTATGGAATGAAACTTCCTTTGGACATTAGACAGACCTCTTCCCTTGTTGTTTTTAAATCGCTTCTTAAAACTCTTTTTCTTTGGCTTTTGTCAGTTGGGGATGTTTGACTTTGTTTTATTGTGATTTTTTTTATTTGTGTTTCATTTGAACACTACATTTTATTTTTTATTTTCTGATTATTTTGTATTTTATGACTGTGTGCAGCACTTTGGTCCTGTCTATGTTTAAAGTGCTTTACAAATAAAGTTGGTATGGTATCACAGGGCCACACACAGAGACAAACAGCCATTCACTCTCTACCTAACAGTCATGTTTTTAGTCTGTGGGAGGAAGCTGGAGTACCCAGGGAAAACCCACACATGCACGGAGAGAACATGCAAACTCTACCCAGAAAGSTTCCTGTGCTGGGATTTGATCCGGCAACCTTCTTGCTGAGAGGCATCGGCTCCACCAACTAAGCCCCAAAAGGCAGCAGGACAGATGAAAATCAAACTCTGGTCCTAAACCTGTGAAATAATTTGAAAGAAATATTTATGTGAATGCACCAAAGTTTCCTGCAGATTTTTTTATAAACAGATTATTACAGTTTAAATATACGTTAAACATGAAACTCCAATTAGAACTGTTCTAAAGGTGATGATGAGAGGGTTGATACTGTTTTACGTTTTTATGGAAGAAGTTTCTATAGGCCCAAAAACCTGAAAGTACATACCTGGTTTGTACCAAACTGCCTAAAGTTTAAATTTGTTTTCAAAGCCTCACACCAAAAAGTGTAAAAGTTGATTTTGACCCACAGACTGTTCCCCACTCTCACTCCAGTTTTACAAGGTGGATTTGTGGCACAAATCCTGACCCAGATTGAGAGGTTTAACTTCATTGTACTAAAAGACTTGATCCAGATTACCAGTAGCAGAGTGTCAAGTACTAAATTAAAGTAGTTTTTGCTTCTTGTGTTCAGGTTTTATGTTGTTACAATGAAAACAAGACTTAGTGTGGAGTCTTTCGTTTGAGCCTCACATCGAACCTGTCACCAACTTTCAACTTTTGTTCCTCCTGTAGACTCCAAACATCTCCAATCGATTCTTTCCATGTTTTTGTTACAGCCAGGCTGAATCACTGCAACAGGGTCCAGTTCTGGGTTTCCAACAAAGCTCTGGACAGACTCCAGTAAGTCCAGAACTCTGCTGCTTGGCTTCTAACATGATCTAAGCCAACATATCGCTTCCACTCTCATGTGACTTCCCTGGCTGCCTGTCAAATCTCATAGAACCAGATCCTTCTCACCTRCAAATCTCTGTGTGCCGTTAACCCTCAGTATCTGTCAGGTCTCCTTCATCCAGACACAAAGTCCTGAAAACTTTCATCCACAGTCCCAGGTCGACTTCCTGTTCTCTGCCCCATCCCTGGAAACTCTCCCATCTGAGCTGTGCAGCAAGACAAACCTCAAAACTCACTTCCTCAACAAGGCGTTCAGCTCTCCACTTT